GACAAAGCTTCAGTGCAAAATGTAAATTTGTTTCCTTAAAAGTGGTGCTGCTGTTGCAAAAGTTGAACACCGCACGTTGAAGTTCAAGAATCTTTATTATCCTTGAGAGACAATTTGTTTCGCAGTCAGTAGTCACACAAAACATTCATACTCAACAAAACATTAAAGACATTAAAATAACCGTACAGAAATCATCACTGTTCATTGAGAAGCCTGATCGCTACAGGGATGAATCAGTTCTAGATCATCCTACATCTGGGTTACCTGCGTCCAGATAGAAGCAACCTGAACTCACCATGGAGTGGGTGATCAGGATCTGCCAGAATCAGCCTGGCCTTGTTCACTGACCTCACCTTTAGGTCAGTGAGGTTCTGTAGGGCAGTTTTGCTGCACATCCTGATAATCCCCAAGAGTTTGTTCCTGTTTTTTAATTTCAAAAGTCCAAACCAACAGATGAAGGTGAAAGTTAAAAGGGACTCAATAAAACATGAATAAAACATTCTCATAAAAGTGGAATGACACATGATCATTGTCCATAAACAAACGAGATCAGGTTTGACCATTGTTACAACTACTTCAGTGTCTTATTTATTAAATTAAATGTAATTCTCCATATTATAGCAACTGTGTCAGTGCTGAGTTTCAAAAGCAGGATTGAAAGGATGCCCTTCAGCTTAAAATGTAGAAATACATATAATATTTTGAGCGATTTTGATCAAAAGGAACAGCCTTTTCCATGTTATTCACTCCATATGAGGTAATTTGATGATTAACAGAGACTAAATGAAAATGTTCTTTTTACAGAAACAAGCAAACGCCTATAAAGTTTAAGAAAACACATGATTTGTTTTATTAATTCTCATCTTTATTCAACATTTAACAATCAAACTGAGCTAAGGTCAATATCTATAACTTGAAAGTGCCTTTAAAAGATATAAATTGGACTTGCAAAGCAAAACAAAACCTCAGGACTTTCAGTAAATGTACATGTTGAGGTAATCTGAAGTGTTTGCACATTTAGCTTTATACAAGAGATAATTACTATTAATTATCTGTGCATTATACACATATTAAAAACACTGCTATCACTTAAATGAGGTTTTCTGTTATAATTTTAAAGGCACATAAATAATTAGGACATTTACATTATGGGCTTGCTGTTGGGTCAACTCAGACACAAGATGAACTTATACTTGTGCTGAATTTGAACGTTTACCCAACATTGTTCCAGTTAAAAGGATATTTATTTAGGGTTTTCTGCTCTTTAGCTGACTAGTAGAACTCCTCTCTGAACCCTGATGAACTCCACTAAGGTGAGCAGCACTAACCAGAAGAGAGAAAGAAAAGAAACATGGAGGATGACGGATAATAGCCCAGCTGGTCGAGTCAGCTGCAATTAGTCCGTGCGAAGTCTCTCAATTATACAGGGGAAAGCTGACACAAAGCCACAATGCTGCAGCTGAATCAATACATAATTGTAATAATTATCATCCTGCTGTCATTTGTGGACATGTCGCCACTTCCAGAAAAGAAGATGGAATTGGATAAGCATAGAGGCTTGAATAGCAGAGGGGCGTCGCCTTCTCAAGTGAGACGTTGCGAACAAAAGGTAGCTTCGGTACCTGGTGTGAGCCATGATGGAACATGCCATCAGTCAAGTTCGAGAAGCTGCATGTAACCCAATCAGATCATGTTTTTATTTCCTCATAAACATAGAAAAAAAATTGTGTTGATGTTTGCAAATGCTAATTTGTGTTGATGCCAGAAAAAAAAGTTTACTATGAAATCAAATATTTTCTAAGAAAGTTTGACATTTCTGTCTTTTGTTGTGTGAATGTTTATGAAGCGTTCACACTTCTGTGATCCATTTTTCTTCCGTATATTATTTCGGCGCATTTCTCATCCCACACTTTCAAGCTATTCCAGCAAATCATATATCAAAACGTTCATCTCTTTCAGGACAATCCTGCTATGACTTTTGGTATTGGTGCAACTTTAGTTTTTTTTTTAAATATTTAGCCTTTTCTGCCACTTTTTTCCTCATAGAAAATGAATTGAGCACATTTCCCATCCTTCAAATATGTATTGCTCCTTTCACATTTAGTACCGGTTCAGCTTCTTTCAGCTTCCTTGTGCAAATGTAACCTTTTTTTTCAGCTACTATCAGCTAATTTCAGCAGTTTTTTCAGCTGTTTTGTGTTCCTTTCAGAGTCTTTTAGCTAACTACAACATTTTTGTGCTTCTTCTAACTTATTTCTACTCATTTCAGCTTGTTATGCTCCTTTTAGCTTATTTCTGCAAGTTTCACCTTTTCTGCTATTTCAGCTACTATTTAGCAGCTTTATACTAATTTTAGCTTACTCAGCTAATTCCACATGTTTTGTACTCATTTTCAGCATAATTCAGCAAAAATGTTATCTGGTAATTTAAGCTTTTTTCTGAAATTTTAGCTGCTTTTTGCTCAATTCAGCTTTTTTCAGATAATTTTTACTTTTTGTGCTCATTTTTACTTCTTTCTGCTTAATTGGGCAAATATGTGCTCTTTCTGATTTCTTCTGCTAATCTAAGCTTGTTCTACCTGTTCAGCAACCTTTTAAGATTTGTAATTCAGCTGTTTTCAGATACATTCAAAATGTTCAAGGTAATGTTTGCTACTTTCAGCCTAATTAACTTCTTTCTGCTAATTTCAGCTTGTTATGTTCCTTTCAGTGTTTTCTGCTAGATTCAGTTTTTTCTGCTATTTCAGCTACTATTTAGCATTTTTATGCTAATTTTAGCCTTTTCAGCTAATTCCGCATTTTTTTTTCTCATTTCAGCTCTTTCTACTTTCTTTTAATCTTCTTTCTGCCTTTTTGGTTACCTTTCAGCTCTCATTTGCTAATTTCAGCTTTGTTTTGTTAATTTCCTAATTTTTGTGCTAATTTCTGCTAATTTATACCCAATTCTGCAAAAATGCATTCTTTCTGCTTTCTTCTGCTAATTAAGGCTTGTTCTTTCATTTCAGCAGCAATTCAGCACTTTTTTTTTCTAACTAATTTCAGCTGTTTTTCAGCAAGTTCTTCCACAATAAGCATTTGCATTGCATTTTGGCAGGAAATGCAATTTTTCTAGTTATAGTTGTTTGTCAAGGCACCAGTGCTGTGCATGTTTTGCAAATCCCACGCCAAAACAGCCAAGACAAAACAGAAACAATGTGATCCATGTCTGATGATTCTCTGAGGCTGTGCAGAGCTGATGGCTGTATGACAACACTGTCTTTTCTAAAGCGTTCACATAAATTTGATCAGTCCATTCCCAAAACAAAGCAGAACGAGACTTTAAGGAGGAAACTTAAAAGTGAACAATCTCCATGGATTATTTATTCTTGTAAAGTACACATAATATTGAACACAATGAGTATTTATTCCATAGATACAATAAAGAAACTATTACAAATTTACTGCTGATCTGCATAAATTAAAAAAAAAAGGTTTTTGTTTTTCATTGTAGTGATTATTCGGATATTTTAAGATTATGAAAAATTACCATCTTACCTGCAGTAGATATTTTTTAAAGCATCTCAATTTGGAGAAACAGAGTCTCAATCTGACCAGATTGTTAAAAGAACAATTAGTGACACCAAGATAAAAGTGGACTCCTTAAAACAACTCCAACCTTTTTTTTAACAACTCATCCAATTACTGTTAATGAACTGTTACAAAAGCCGTAGCACTTCGATACAACTTCAGGTATTTCTGTCAGGAAAACATCACATCCGTATAATTCAAAAAAAGGTTTGTAAATCATTTGCACTAACCACGGTAAATTATTTGAGATGGTGGACGCTGCTCAGCAGCAGGAGGTGCTCACGCTCAGGGAGGAGTGGGTGAGACCATTTGGTGCAGCTGTGACTTGCTGGTCTCAGCCTCTCTGTCTGTATCTGCTGCAGCAACTGAAGCCTCAGGACACTTTACAGCTGCAGCAGTAAAACAATGAAAATATATGCTAATTTATAAGCAATTTCCAATTTGTTTGAGTCTTCTTTGTATAGTCAGAAAGATCAACATGGTTAAAAGGAAAAAAAAAGATCTCAAAACAGAAGTTGAAACTTTAACCTAAAGTTCACTCGGACAAAAATGTTTTTATTTATTCGCAAAGTTTGATTGCGCCTTAAATTATCACTTTTTTTATGACGTATGAAAAGCTGATGAATAAAGTTGTGCATAAATCCCAGCAGTGGTTCATAAATTACCAAAGCAGACACTGGTGTATTTATTTTTGGTCATCTATATCTGATTTCCTTAACTACTTAAAAGGAGATGGATGGAAGAAAGCATAAACTTGATAATCGTTCCCATCTCTGGATAAATGTCAAGCTTCTGTTTGTAGCTCAGCCTTTCATGTTCAATCAAAAATGGTCAAGATGAAAAAAAATTTTTTTAAACGACTGGCCAATTTCCTCTGGCTTAAACAAAATATCAAGGTCTATTTCTGAAATTACTGTCAGTTTGCCTTACTTCTTTATTTTAGAGCAATGCCACCCTCCAACATATAGGTAAAAGTCACTGTTTTCCAGGGTTACATCAGTGCTCTTTAGCATTTTCAGCCCGAGTGTTCAGGTTTAGGCAAGAGTCATACAATCCCACCTGACTTCTCTGCACAAGGTTGCTGCTGTGGCCAGAGGTCCACAAATAATCCTTTTACCTGATCTTGCCTGTGGGCACCGTACATCATTCACAATCATGTTAGCCACTAAAGTTGTCAGCCAAAAGCACTGCGAATCCACCTGATGCGCTCGTTGCCGAGGTTGGAAACAGGAAAATGTTTCTTCTCCCTGTTGTGTGCGTGTGTTTTCCCTCCTCACCCACGATTAAATCTAATTTCTCAGGAGCTGTGGAGATTGGATTGAGCTGATAAAGTGACTTAATTTTCTACAGTTGACTTTTCTTTGGTCTAACCTTTAAAACAACACCCTCAGGTCAACGCTTTGAATATTGTCTAAAAATATCCACAGTGTTTCTATGTAGCTGGAAAATTCATTCTTATGTTTATCTAATGTTTTACATTAATGTATTAATTCTGCACAGGCCCCAAAATTAACAAAACTTTTTTTTTAAATAACCAGCATTTATAAAGATGCTTAATTTAAGCTGAAATTCAGTGGCTATATGGTTTTAATGTGTATTTTTTATGGACGGATCAGCTTTGGGATGAGTTTGATGGATTCAGCACACGGATTGATCAGAGGGAGATTAGAGTGCTTGACGTCAGAAACTGCAAACAAATGGTCCTATAAAAAGAGCAAACCTGTTTGGTAAAAAAAAAAAAAAAAAGGAAAACACTCTTGGCACAGACTGAGGTTAGAGAGCACAGCATACACGCTGTCACTCCTGTTACAAGCAAACAAAGTCACAACTTATAAGCTCGAAGATGCCCCTTTCAAGCAGCTCCACGTCCTCCTCTAAGAGCATCCGCAGAGCAGCATCCGAACTGGAGAGGTCGGACTCCATCACGGTAAGAAACCACAAATTCACAACCTACAATTTATTTGACAAGTTTCAGACTTTAGCTTTATTCGTTTATGTTTTTAGAAGTTGTATTTAAAATGTCTTAACTCTAAATTTAAAGAACGCGTGGCGACCTGTCCATTACGCAGCGGCTGTGCCAAATCTTTTACGCAGCGGGCGCGCAAAATGTTTTCACCACATTGGTAAAAACGCACGTCCTAACGAGCCCCGGTGTTCAAATAGGTGCTTTTGCAGCTTTTTTTTAAAGGATTTACCTCGATTGCATTGCTGTTCCGATGCGCATTTGGAGATGGAAAGCGCTTCCATCCAAAGAACAGCTCAGCTGCGCATGTGAGACCAAATCAGAAAAATGCACGACTCTTTTATTTCGCTCTTTCTTTCTTTTCCCTTTTGTTCTTTTTTTCATCTTTCGTTTGGTTGAAGCAGTCTCCAAGGTTCGTGGGCAGAAGGCAGAGCTTGATCGAAGATGCGCGGAAGGAGAGGGAAGCCGCGGCTGCAGCGGCGGAGGCTGCTGGGACCAGTGAGCAGATCGTGTTTGAGGAGGAAGATGGAAAAGCGCTTCTCAACGTCTTCTTCGTTTTAAGGAGCTCCAAGACTCCTGCGCTGTCCCGGACACTCAAGGTGTTTGAGGTACAATAAGAGAATTATATTAAGAATTGATGTTTTTATACTTAACATATAAAAAAAAAAAAAAAAACTCTTGACAATATAACCTACTGGGACACATGAATAAAGATGGATAATTAAGTGGCACAAATGATCAGATCTTCATTAGCGTGAACCAGGTTTAAGTGTTTTCTTGAAATATTTTATACATTTCAAGTAATTTAAAAAATCATTTTCCACGTATATTTTACAAATATTAATGTAAATATAAAAGCATATATTTGAAAGAACATGTACTTTTTGGTTGCATCTTAAAGCACTCAACTTACTTTATTTTCTATAACAGAGTTGCCAACATTAAAGTAAGTTATTGTTTCCACATCATTTATCCAAGAATATGTATTTCCATGTTTATTTTAAATTGAAGGCAGATGTTTTATGTCCTATAAATGTGCTTTATCCACTCTGTTTAAAGCAAAGGTGTCAAATCCTGGTCTTCAAGGGTCACTATCATGCATGTTTTCTATAGTTCTCTGCTCCTGGATATAATCGATGGGTGACTAACAGGTTTCTGCTGAGCATGAAAAGATAATTCAACCATCAGGTGTGTTGGAGCAGGGAAACAGTAAAACATGGAGGATAGTGGCCCTCAAGGACCAGGAGTGGACACCCCTGTGTCTTGTATTGTTGACAAAGCTACCTGTTAGAATTCTGACTGTATTTTAGACATTTGAAGCAAAGATTCACCACTTGGAGACGCGGCCATGCAGGAAGCTTAAAGACAGCCTTGAGGGCCTGGAGTACTTTGTCCGCTGTGAGGTCCACCTGTCAGACGTCAGCACTCTGGTCAGCTCCATCAAGAGGAACGCAGAGGATGTCAAAACCACTAAAGAAGTCAAATGTGATTTCACAATCTTACTTTTTATTTCTCCCCAAGACGTGAATATTTGCATCTGTTTTGCTCCCAAACAAAGCACAAGTGATGTTTTCTTGTTTTCTATATTAGTTCATTGGTTCCCAAAGAAAATGGCTGAGCTGGACAGATGCCATCATCTGGTCACAAAATTTGATCCAGACTTAGATCAAGACCATCCTGTGAGTAATGCATTTTGCCAGAAGCAAATAAGAACAGAAGTATAATTTACAGCAGATGGGTAATGCTTTGGACCATTATGTTGTTATATAGAAATATATTATATTTGAACAGGGCTACAGTGATCCTGTCTACAGACAGAGGAGAAAAATGATCGGTGACATTGCTTTCACATACAAATTGTGAGATACTTTTTTTTTTTCCTGGTTGTTTTACAGACAGCTTTTTGTAAAAAAAAAAAAATAACAACAATGGTAGGTTTTACATTTTCCTGAGAAATGTGTCCACATGTTTGTCTCCAGTGGGCAGCCAATTCCCAGAGTGGACTACACTGCGGAGGAGATTAGCACTTGGTAAGAGCTGCTGCATGCTTCTTTCAAATAGGAAATACAAAGAGCATATGATGTGTGGTGCAACTAAGATGAAATCAAACTTAAACAAAACTCTGTTATCCATTTTAGGAACAAAAAAACTTGTTGGCAAAGTCACTTTGATCTTGTTTCTAATGATAAATCAAATTGTATTCTGCAGGAGGATATGATATGTCATTGTTTTATATAAATTAGGACAGAAGGTGACAGCAAAGCAGACTATGATGATGCAGTCGAACACAAAACAAGTAATTTTACAAGATCAGCAAACAGATTTTGTAGATTTAATCTAAAAGTCTAGATTTCTTTTTAAAAGTGTTTAGTCAGGCTCTTGTGGTAAAAATAAAAAAAAAATGCATTTTTAAAATGAGGAGTAAAACACTGTTTTTAAATTTTTAAACAAACTATAACAGCACAAAACATTGAAGACATGCATTGATCAGGCGTCCAAAATGATGGACATTTACAATCTCTGGAGGATTTCTTGAGGTTGTCGGTACACCGCAGCATTAGCAACGGATTTAAGAATTAACATCTTAAGCTCTGCCGTGTTCTCTGACTCATTCTGCAACATGTTCTTGCATGCCCTGCTGAGGCTGGAGCTATGAATAGATGCAGGTTTTCCCATGAGAACATTGCAATGAAACTGACGTTTCACTCACTTTACCAGTTAGAGGTCATAGTGTCACGACTGATGACTGGATGAATTATATTTAAAAAAAAAGGATGAAAAATAGCCAAACCATATACAGAATGATGATGAACTACAGCGCGGTTGTGGTGCAAAATCAGTTTCTATGAAATTCATGATCAGCTTGTTAGATTTTACTTAAAAAAAAAACTAAATTTGTATTTCATCCCATCTTCATTCAGGCAACAAGTCTATTCAACCTTGAGGGATTTGTACACCACCCACGCCTGCGTAGAACACCTCGAGGCCTTCCGTCTGCTGGAGAGGCATTGTGGGTACAGTCCGGACAACATTCCCCAGTTGGAAGATGTGTCACGCTTTCTCAAAGGTGCTGCCTGCAGGGTGAAGCGATGAAAGCAGCGCAACCTAAACACAGATGTGAGGTGACCATCAGGGCTTGATTATTTCTGCTTCTCTCACAGAACGCACGGGGTTTCAGCTGCGTCCGGTGGCGGGCCTGCTCTCCGCCAGAGACTTCCTGGCCAGTCTGGCATTCCGAGTGTTCCAGTGCACCCAGTACATCCGACACGCCTCGTCTCCCATGCACTCCCCAGAACCGTGAGAACGCCTGTGGATCCTCCGTCATTGTTTCATGTAGGGGTGTCAAACTCAGTTATACCAAAAAGGAGCCAAAAATGTAAAAACTATGTCTGAGCCACGGGCCACTTTCAGCTGATACATTAACTCGAGTCAGATACATGATATCTGTTCTTGGTTGCACGTTCATGAGAGTTTGATTTGTCTCACTTGATGTTCTACTCTTTCCACATCAGAATCAGTAATGACAGAATGATCCAGCCATCTTTCTGACTTCAAAGTTAACCAGCGGGCAAGAGAAGTCTATACTAAATGATGTATTTATCAGTTGTTTTAAAGACAAAAACGAGAAGATATACAATATTTTACATTTAAATTATCATCTTGGAGGACCAGATTTGGCCCGCGGCTCTTGAGTTTGACATGTGTCATCTTGTGCACCAACAATTTGTGATGTCAGATGACCTGACTGAGAATTCTTGGATTTAATACTTGAATGACTGAGCATGAACTTCGTTGCCTTGTACCACTTTGGCTGTGGCTGTCTGCCTGGGAGGAGTTGACGGGGGACAGGACGGCCCCCAGAAACCATCTTAGCCCCAGCAAACTGGTTAGTCCACTTAAGAAGTTTACTGCTTGGTGGGGAAACAGTTTACTGGAACTCCTCAGACTGATGAAGCCTTCCGGATAGAGGGCGAAACATCTCTATAAGAAAGACACTGTCCAGATGGCCCGACTGAGCATTATTGGATTTGATACCTGGATGATGGAGCATGAACTTTATTGTTAACAATTTGTGGACTTATTTACATAATAAAAATCTGGAAAGTTAGGGGTTAATTTAAATTACCATTAGTCATCACCATGTCCTCAATGGGTTAGCTTCTGTGATGTGTGTTTAATGTACTGGTATTCAACCGAGCTTCTCTTTATCTTCAGTGACTGCGTCCACGAGCTGCTGGGCCACGTTCCCATGCTGGCTGATCGCACGTTTGCTCAGTTTTCACAGGTTAGAGTCTCTGGAAAGCTTATTATTGTCCATGTTGTGCTGCAATGTTCTGAAAACAATTATTGCTTGTTTTGTTGGCAGAATCTAGGACTAGCATCTCTGGGGGCATCAGATGAAGATATTGAGAAACTGTCCACAGTAAGACAACTCTAACAAACCAGGGGGACTGCGTTCAAATGATCTGCTTTTATGATGATAAAATCTTTGTTCCACACAAATAACGAATCACTTGTCCAAACTAGTTATCTTGCTGTTTTCATAATGCAGTTTTGTTTCTCCCACTAGCTGTACTGGTTCACAGTTGAGTATGGCCTTTGTAAACAAAATGGTGAGGTTAAGGCTTATGGGGCTGGACTGCTTTCCTCTTACGGAGAACTTGTGGTATGTTCCAGCATGTTTTTCACTTTCTTTCAAAACAAGAATCAAAGCCAGCTGATCTCCCAGCTAATTCCTTTTCCTGTTACCTCCTCCCAGCACTGCCTGTCTGATGAACCAGAGACCCGAGAGTTTGATCCAGAGGCTGCAGCGGTGCAGCCTTATCAAGACCAGACGTACCAGCCCGTCTACTTTGTTTCAGAGAGCTTTCTGGATGCCAAAGAGAAATTCAGGTACTTTATTGAACCAGAAAAAAAACACAAGGTCATAATGTAAAAGAGAGAATAAAACAGGGTTATGTCAGGACAAGGTCAGAGAACAGCCAGCCAAACCCAGAGGCCACAAACTTCTGCAGGTCAACCATTGCAGCCAGAAAACAGCTGCTACTAATATAGTCTTTCTTACCAAGAAAAATGTTGGAGTTTTATTTGGCAAACGCATGAAATGCTGCTCTTCAAAACAAGTGGCTTCGGTGAGTGTTTTGACAGTCGTCAGCCTCTGGTGGAACACAGCTCTTGACCTCCTTGCCGCAGTAGATGAGAAAATCAGCGAGGGGATGTTTGGAGAAGCACAGTGGATATGGAATACACAAACAGTGCTTCTAAACAGGGCTGTTTCACATATTATGAAAAGATTTCTTTTACCCACACACCACAGGCCAACCTGATTTTTTTTTTTTTTTTTTTAGCTAAGTGAAATGCTCAGATTTATAATTTAGGTTTTGAACTTTACCGCCTGTTTTTGTGCCCGACTTTCACCAGGGCCTACGTATCTGGTATCAAGCGTCCCTTCTCGGTCAGGTTTGATCCATACACTTGCACTGTTGAAGTCCTGGACAACCCCCTAAAGATCCAAGGAGGACTGGAAAGTGTGAAGGATGAGCTCAAGGTGCTGACAGACGCCCTCAGTGTTTTGTCGTGATGGAGCCCCAGTCCTGTTTGTGGTCCTCCTGCTGTTGCTTGTTTCCTCCCTGCTTGAGCTCTGCAGCATCTGTTATGTGACCAGATTGATGTGTTTCTCTTTCTGTGCCGAACCTCCAGTTTGACGCTGAGTTGTTGCTTGTTCTTGTTGTAAAGCTGCCTGATTGACCGGCAGTGTTGCAACCGTTAAAACCTCAAAAAGGCAGAGTGCAAAAAGCCTCCAAAGATGTTTTGTTTGATGCTTTGTTTGGTTTGGATGCCTTTGTGACATGATGTGGTTTTACTTGACTGGGCTGTTTTGTGCTTTTAAAATCATCATAATAAAAAAGGTCTATAGTTTGAGGAACGTGTTAACATCAGAGCCAAAATGAAGAGGAGCTGTAATCATGAATGTATTAAAAAAGTGAATATTTTCAAATGTGTAAAATCAAAGTAACATTATAGTGGCAATTAAGGCACATATTTAACTAAATTATTTTATATATACATAAGCATATGTGTGGTGTTTTGTCTTGCCTTGTATTTCATGTGTAAATGCATTTAAAACAATTCTGTGTAATAAAATGTTCAAAGTAATGTGTAAAAAATTAAAAAGTCTCCAAGAAAATATTTTACTATAATGTTTTAAACTAAAAAATTATGGATCTGCAATTGAAGTAGAAATTTGTTCATTTTGAAATGTTAGGACTTTTTTGCAGCTTGCTTATTGGCCACTGGAGGGCGCTGTCTGACAGGTATCTAATTGTATAACCATTATCAGGGATCGACTACAATATTTTGCTTTTCATGCTAATTTGGTGCTACACCTGATTTATAATTTAAAAATAAAGTCAAAGATAAGGTGAAAATTATATTAAAGGCCAAATTAGTTTTTATAATTACAAAAAAAGCCCTCTATTAGTCAAATATTTTCAACATCAGGGTATTTGCATGATCTGGGGTGTGTATATTTTTAAAATAAAATTAAACAAATGCCAAATTTTACATTAATGAACCATCTTTGGGTAGTGTAGATCTACCATAGGGACAACATGTGGCCCTTAGTAAAGAAAAAGTCTTCATGTGCTCGAAGCCATTGTCCAATCAGAGCTAAATAAAGACATTTCAATAATGTGCCACGGTGAATTTTATTATTATTCTTGTGATCAAACAAAACAGACTTCTTTAAGTGGCCGATGATAAAGATGGACGTGAGCATGTTAGCTGTTGAGCTGGTTTAAGATCAAGTTTACTTTTAGCCTAATAAAATGTAAACTGCCTGCAACTCATCATATCTGACTTTAAGAAATTAGTATAAAATAAATAAAAAAGACAATAATAATTTTGCAAACCCATGCAGAATGGCTTGAGACGGTTTGAGATGAAGATGGAGGCCTCTAAAAGTTTGTGTCCAGGGGCCTAGTGAGGGGTTTTCGCCCTAACTTGATCTTTGGGTGTCCTGTCTGGACATATTACCTGTTGGTTGAAGTTGTTAATCAGACCCTGGATCAGTTAAAGTGGCTTCAAAAAGAAAAAAGAAAAAAAAACAGAGGTACATTATGAGTGCCAGCAGATGTCAGTCTGGCTCAGGAGACCCACTCAGACCCTGTGTGGAAGACTTACATAATTAAACACGTTTATAGACACAAAAAGTAAAGGTGCTTTATCAGATTCTGCTTTAATTATCTGCATTATAGGAAACACCTGAATGGGGATTTTATTGTTGGGTTGTATTTGTAATATTTGCCCACAGTGTTTGAATTTATTCTGATTTTTATCATCGCATGATGCAATAGAAATCAGTTAAGTTTGTGTGTGAGGCCACCAGCATCCTGCCTCTGGGAACACATCCACTCCACAGTCAGACACCTTTGACCCCCACCAGTGACGACATCCACACCTGAGTCAGAGCACGGCCGCAGACACTGGGCACACGGATGCCTTTGGATCTTTGCTCTTAATTAAAGGGCAGAGACATTGACATTTTTCCTGGAGTCGTAGGAATTACGGCTATTCTTGTTCAGTCTGCGCCCTGTGTGTAAACATTCTGATTGCAGGTTACAGTGCGTAAACACAGGGGGGGGGGGGGGGATGCCAATGAGACTTTCTCCCTCTCTCGTTCTCATTTCTTTCTTTAAGCACTTTTCCATAAAACATCTCTGGGCCATTTTTTTTTTTATCAACCGTGAAGAGAGGAGGAGCGACGGGATGGGGTGGGTGTAAAGGGGCGTGTTTTGGTATAAAATACCTCTCCCTGAGAAGTTTTGCCTGTCGCCTGGTCTTTGGGACAGCCTCTCACACACCATCTCTATATAGCCTCACCAACTGGGAAACTAACTCACCTGCAACATCTCCAAGCAAAAGACAACAATAAAGCTCCCACCACCTTTACTGCCATCTGCCATGGAAACCCAGCAAAGACACGGACTCCACGCACTTTGCCACACCTGCCGGAGAACAGAGAACAGCAGAATCAAGGTAAACCACTGGAGTTTCGTAGTTTGAAATGCTCCGTGCGCGCAGTGAACGAGCTTGGAGAGATATTTGCTTGTCTCATCAAAGCGAGGAAACAGCTCCGGCTTTAGGACATCCTTGCTTTGCATCAGTTTTTTTTTTTTTTTAATGCAATTTGACCAACCCGGGTCTACAAATTTGCATCAGCAGGATTTAAAAAAAAAAAAAAAAAAAAGTTTTAGGATGCATAATCTAGAAAAGGGACCAGGGAAGCTTTGGCGCATTTGCGTCTTGGACAGAGAAGTGAAAATGGTGCGTGTTTTAATGTGCTCTGCGTGGCGCGCCGGGACGCGGGGCAAACAGCTGGTCGTGTTGCCGGCAGATAGGGGGCGGTAGGTCTGAGGGTCATTGAGCTCACTCCGGGGTGAGCAGGGGGAAAATATATGCTGAGTCTGGCTTTTCGGGTAGTTAACTATCGAGCAGCCGGCCTTGCAACTTTTTGGAGAGTTGTGCAAGACGGTGAAAGCTACAGATACTGACGGTCCCCCCCCTTCAGAATAAGCACTTCTCTCAGGTGGCAAACACATGACATCAGCTGATTAAAGTCAGGGCAGCGGGTGTGGGGTGTTTTATACTGACATTTTTTTTTTTATAATCATTTAACTACTGTGAAGTTACTGGGTCAGTGCGCGGGGCAGCTTCTGACACTGAGCGCGCATGAGTTTAAGACTTTAATCTCTCACATTATAAAACAAAACATCTGGCTGTGATCTTGCTCGAATGGGTCTCACATCTTGCAGGTTTTGTTTAAGTCGTGGTGACTCTTTGCTCTTGTGTGTGTTTCTGCTGCAGGTCAAGAAGATGTCCTCGTCCAGCCGCGCGCTGCTCTTCGCGCTGGCTCTCGCGCTCTACGCGGTGGAAATGGCCTCGGCGGAGACGTTGTGTGGGGGAGAGCTGGTGGATGCGCTGCAGTTTGTCTGCGAAGACAGAGGCTTCTATTTCAGTAGGTGCACCCCCGCGCATTTTGGAGCATCACACGTTTTTTGTGCACAAATGCATATTATCTGTATGTTATTGTCCTCCTGTTGCACCCCCTCTGTTGTTCCTTTGCGCGCACATCTGTTTGGATAGCTGAGGCCGTCTGTGGCTGTGTGGTATGCGTGTTTGCTGTTTTTCTTTCTTACGCACTGACGCCCATACGCGCGCGCGCGTGCACTCCGAGGGAGAGAGATTATAGCCAGCTGTGTGTCTCAAGCAGCTCGTCCAGGCAGCCCCTACCTCTCAGTGCACATGAAAAGGCCGGCGACTTGCGAAGGCACACACGACTCAGCCACACAATGGGCCACTTGTTTACCAGTAAAGTAATAGCACCCCGAGAGGCATACCAGTCACCTCAGCACCAGTATTCCCAGGCCAGGAGACCACACTGATGAGCTGGACTGGGTGGAGGTGGGGGTGGGGGGTTGATGTCAGGCTAAGAGGGAAGAAGATCATTAACATCTCTTCTGCTCATTGCTCCTGTTGTATTGATGGCAGTGCAGCTGTAAAAGCTTTATATGCCGGGAGCGTCGTTGTTAATCCTCCACTGGATTACATTGTGTTTGCTCACTGTGCAGCGTTTGTGACACAAGTTTACACTTTATTTTTGGACTGATAAACGATTGTTTTAACAGACAAGCAGCGTGCTTGTGTAAGTCTCCAATCAGAACCATCATTATCCATTTTGGGCCATAGATGTGCTCCCTCCTCTTCGCCTCCTCCCTCTCCCTGGATAACTCATTTCTTTTCTTTTTTTTCCTCTCATGTTCCTCTTCCTGCAATCAAATCTAGCCATGCCTCTCATGAGATTTCTCCGACATTGTGTGGGTTGCAGGGCTTCAAACAAGGCCTTTATTGATTGTGTATAATGTTACCTTGTGCAACATGCTAACCATCCACCCCCCTCACCTCATTCTTTAGCATGTTTCTCTTTGACAAAGTCCCTTTTTAGATTTGTATTATCTTCCTTTTTGTGCGCTAATTCCTTTTAGCTGCCTATCCCCGTTTCTTCGACAAGCTGCAGGAGTTGTAACCTTATATGTTTACTCTGAAGTATTCGAGACATCTTGTCAGGTTTTTTTGTCACTCCCTTTCGGTCACTACAGCACACAGTGTTTACTTGTGTATACTTCCATTTAAGGACTTCAAAATAGGCCTAATCAGATTATCCTTTACACCAAAAATATTTGTTGCAGTTGGTCACAGATTTCCTTTTATCCTCTTTTCTCCAAAGGCTGTGATGATTGTTGAAGTAATCCTGCAACAACAACCTAGATTCATTATTGGGCCAGTGCGGTGTTTTTTTAGGTTCTAACCTCGCCCTCTACATTGCCTTTTTTTAATCTCTGCTGTGTTTCTCCTCAGGTAGACCAACCAGCAGGGGTAACAACAGGCGCTCCCAGAACCGTGGGATCGTAGAGGAGTGTTGTTTCCGTAGCTGTGACCTCAACTTGTTGGAGCAGTATTGTGCCAAACCGGCCAAGTCTGAGAGGGACGTGTCGGCTACCTCTCTACAGGTCATACCCGTGATGCCCACACTAAAGCAGGTGCGTCTAAACAACAACGCTCGCAAAAGTGCTAATTCAGGCCTTTATCTGCTCTCTCATCTCTTGGACCTCCATTTACTGATGCACCTCACCCCTATGCCTCTGATGTTGAGTAAAAACTGAGTACGGCACGGAAACGAGTTTATCTTGCTTGATGATCAATGCTGAGCAGTGAAGTGCTGACCATCATGGAAACTATCAAGGCAGTCACAGAACATTATATCCAAGAGATGACAGAGTCATATTGTGTTTATGTGCCTGAGAGATGATGAACAAAACAGAATGTGTTGATCGTCTGATTAATAGGGACAGAACAGCAAGTTCTTTAAAAAAAATAAAATAAATCTGGCGCTCGAAAACAACTGAGGTGAGGGAAGAGTTACAGAAATCCAGAGGATAGTCAAAGCATTTCAGATGCTTCCAATTCAGTCACAACATCGAACCTTTTTTTAAAAATCCCTTAAAATGTTCTTTAGTCAGACTTGGGAAAGCTTCTGTTTTTGTCTCAAAGATCACCTAAACTTAACAAATCTGCCTCCTAAATGCAGCAAATTGAAAGTGAAGAATAAACAAGCTGCCAGGGAATTAGTTTGGACATGTCTCCAGTTTGTCTCAGTAGGGAGAGTTGATGGGTACAGCCTGCTCTGGGGCCAGCTGTTCTCGGGCTATTGAGCAGGCTTGGAGCGAATGAAGGGAGATAAACACTCTTCAAGTGGCAGGACCAAAACAAGCCATTCACATGGAGCACTGGTTACTCACACGTAAATCCAAGCTTAGCTGCCAACACTCCCACTTTGTCTCAATCTCTGCTGCTCGAATCAGCCTCTATAACTGTTTAACCGTGTCTTTGGACATAGAAAATCTAAAACGACATTTCCGAGCAGCGTTTTTTTTAAATTTGGCCTGTGGAGGTCACGCAGTTCATTTGGTCGTAGGCTGAATGACAACATGCCTCTAATATGTATATGAAGGAAGAGTGGCCGCCTTTCCCTTTGACAATATGTTAAAGAGGCTGCACTAAGTGCTTGTTGACAACGTCTCTCAGTGGAGGAAACCAAAACAAGGGCACGCTGAAAGCGAGACCAGGCTGTTATGACGCGCAGCGCCACAAGAATGACGTTTGATTTCCATTTCACAGACCCAACAACGACTGAATTTTTCCTCACATAATAAACAGGGCTTTCCTCCGTTGTAATGAGCACTTGCACAGTATCTTATCTTTACTAATGAACTGACTCCCCTCTTCTCTTTCTGCCTGCACGCCACAATAGGAAGGCCCGAGGAAGCAGCATGCGACCGTGAAGTATTCCAAATACGATGTGTGGCAGAGGAGGGCGGCCCAGCGGCTCCGGAGGGGCGTCCCTGCCATCCTGAGGGCCAAAAAGTTTCGGAGGCAGGCGGAGAAGATTAAAGCCCAGGAGCAGTCAATCTTTCACAGGCCTCTGATCAGCCTTCCCAGCAAACTGCCCCCCGTGTTGCACACCACGGACAACTTTCTCAACCACAAATGAGCCCGCTGCCAGCCCTTTGCACAGACAAGAGTATGAGGGTGACAAAAAAGACTAGGGGATTATAGCTTTGTCTCTGACGTCATTTCTGTGGCAGTCCTCTTTGACCTTCCCTGCCCTGTCCAGGCCCACCAGTCCCTCCCCCCTGCTTTAGTCCACTACGTCTTGAACCCATGGCCCTTTTCTAATGCCCACCACCCCACCCCCATTTAAACCTCAGCCACCCACCCTTCTCTGGCACACAAACATGCTTTCACATTCTTCCTGTCTGAACTCTTTAGCGCCTTTTCTCTTTCAGTCACAGATACAAAAGGAACAAACACAAAAGTTGAAAAAAACTTTAACAATTTGGCTGAATGCAATTCAGGTGGATCCCTAAGCAAAAGAGAAACGGGAAGGGGGAAAAGAAGATGAAAGAGATCTGTGTTTCCAAGTGTCAAGAGGACACCTAGCAGATTTTTTTTTGTCCTGGTGGAAGACAACTGAAAGTGAAGAGCAGCTCGCATGAAAGAATTCATTCCACTTCATTTTTCCTGAGGCAAAAGAAAATCTCTGTTAGTTCTTTTTCCTATTAGTTTGCACCTCTACCTATAAAGGGACTTCCACACTGTAAGGAATTATTTTGCAAAATTAGATTCCTGTTCCAGCACCTTTTTTGACCACAAACAAAAAGCAGAAGAAAAAAAAAAAGTCTGCAAAATTGCACATTGCCACGGATTACGTCAAAGTAAAGAAAAAAAAAGCACTATTTTTTTTATGAACAATGAACGTGTAGCTTAAAAAATGTCATGGTGCTAGCTTTGGGAATGGACTCAAAGAAGAGGTTGAAAAGCACGTTATTTTTTCTTTTTTATTTTTGAATGAATATTAAACTTTCCGTTTTAAGGAAAGTGTGACTTTAAAAAAGGAAAATAAAGGATATGGGGGAGCTCCTGACAGTGGCGCTGTCAAGGGGGAAGAGTCACTGAGGAAAAATATGGGCTGTGTTGGCACCTAGGCTCATGGCGAGTACTAGCGGCTGCTCATTACCAGTTTGCCAGCATAAGCAGCAAAGGGGGCAACCTGAGACCTAGTCCTGGTTTCTCCAGTCTCTGAGGCTGCTGGACAAGACAGAGCAAACCAGGGACATATATGGGACACTGTGGACCACCTGGATTGGGACAGTACTTCGTGTTTGCCATGGCTTTGCGGACTGCTCTGACAGGAATTAACATGGCATGGACAAAGAACAAGTGGGATAATAATGATTATATTTTATTTTGTCTTTTTTCATATCAATGTTTTAATGAAAAAATAAGGAAAACCCTGTCAGTTTCTGGTACCGTGACATTCCTGTTTTTCCAACTTAGGCATTTTTTTGTTTGTTTTCGTGGTATTGTTTATTATTTTGCAGTTTTAAAGTAAAGGCACACAGTTTCAATTCAAAGGGAAAAACAAAACAGCAATAATGTCAACTAACATTTAATGTTTATTTTATATCAGTAGTATTCACCTGCTTTTGCCTGAAAACAAATACTTGAAAATACAGTGTGTGTATGTATGTAGTATGTATGTATATATAAATATGTATATATAAATATATATATATT